TTATTGTTTCAATGTTTGACATGGATCACTTTGGTAAATCTATAGCAGCTTCATCGAAATTGAAAAGAACAAAATTATTATTGTTCTTTGTCTTATGTGAAGCTCGATATCGGTCAACTAATTGTAATTCGATCCAAGTTGGACTCGAACATCGATATGAATATAACATGGCAGGTTTTGGTAGGCTAGAAATTTTTAGCGTTCAGATTTATGGAGACGGAACTCTTATACGATCTCTTCAATTCAAATACGAGGATTGCAGAACTAATCTAAATCCACCGTAGTAACTTTGTATTGTACTAATTTTAAATCAAAGATTCGAACTTGTTTAGCTCTTCAGAAGTCTTGAGTATATGGTATTTAAGATTTCAACATGTATTTTCGAAAACTGTAATAGACCTCAAAGCATTTCAATAATGACATTTCGATAAATGTCTAAAAAGATACGAAATCATTAAGTTTGGTACTGTTTATTTAAATATAAAGCATACATGTTATATAACTCTGCTTTATTTGAACATGTTTTAGAGTCATATTCTTATCACAGAAAGACCACAGATGTCTAAAAATCAATCTCTTCAAACATTGCGGATAATTACAAAGAATGTAATTTGATATTTATCAATATCCTAAAGACAATATTCATTGTACAGTTCTAATCTATGAAAAACAAAGACGTAATTCCTGTGATTCCATCGACCAGCCATGTGTAGAGTGAGTTATTTTTGCACTATATATTCTAACAAAAACATTTTTACCTTAATCTTATCCTGCAAAGCTCTATACTTGATCTCTAATCTGATCAGGATGCATCGAAGTCAGTTTTTTTTCTTTGTTATTCAAATGTTTAAAACTCCATTTTATTTATTGTGTTATTTTTTATTTACGTCTGTTTCATCTCGTGTATGTTTCTTTGAATTTTGTCCAGTTTGTCGTTGATTAATATTGATTGATGGTAATGAAAAATCAAAAAAACGATTTCTAAAATACAATTATATATATATATATATATAAAGAATTTTTTCATAAAAATCAAACTATTTACCCATTCTCAAGAAGTGATAATAATAATGGGATGGCTCCAGTTAGACGAATTCGTCTGCGATTATCTTCATTTTCAGCACAATGAGTTAAACACCAAATAGCATGATCAAGAACTTTAACATTATTATGACTTAAATGACTTTATTTAAATAAAAAGAACATTCTATTGATATATTTGAATAACTTCTACTAAGTTTTTTCTACCTAGTAAAAGCATCAAGAAAATCATTTGGTATACGTGGAATACATTCTCGTCCTTCTGGATGACCAAGAAAATTTGCCATAAGTTGTAGAGAAAGTCTTAAAATATTTTATTATGCATTTAAATAATATGCTGTAACAAGAAGTTAAATTCATTTTTACATACTGTTTTATTTCAAGATCTTTATATAAAAGTATTTGTAATAAACTATCAATTGTTTCTAATTTAATAATTTCTTTAATATACAATTCTCTTGATAAAATTAAAAATAAAAATCAACACAAAATTTATATGAATAAATTCTTACGTTTGATCAATCATATTCATTAATAATCTTAATATAATTTGTAAAACTATTAAATCTTGAGTATTATTTAAAAGACGTGTTATTGATTCAATTATTTCACTTGATATAATATATTCTCGTTCAATATGATTAGGTGTATGCATTATTAATTTAAGAAGAATATCTTTTTTTATTAAAAAGAAAAAATAACGAATAGAATAAATTGTTTTTTTCTTCTATCTTATTTTATTGACTTACTAAGCATATGGACAAGTACTTTACATGCAGTATATGTTGATTCATTATTATTATTATTATTATTATTATTATCACCACATTGATCTATGGAATGAATATTGAGATATAAATCCATTTGCTAAAATACATAAATAATGTCAAATAAGATTTGAAAAATAGTTTTAAGAAATGTACAATTTTTAAACCGATCATTCCATTTTCTTGAATAAAAACAAGTTGATATTCAGGATCACGTAATAATATCCGCAAACAATAAAATATTGATAATGAACAGAGTTTATTCGTACTAAAGGAAAAAAAATTAAAACATAGTTTTTTTTTGTGAAAGATGTTTTGAATGGAGTGTTGAAACATAAGATTAAACACTTTCTCTCTCTCTCTCTCTCTCACTTTCCATAGACTTAGTAGATAACCTTAACAACAAATCATCATACCTTGGACACCTATCATTTGAGCTCAATTGAACTCACAGACAGGTTTTAGCAAGACTAATAAAAGTCTAAAAGGGTTCGTTTCTATTACTCTTTGGCGCCGAATTATGAACGGTATACTGAACTTTTGACCTATTCTTAGTTACACCTTAGAAACCTGAATAACTGAGTTTCAAACCAGAAGTTTGCCAATACATAGGTCTAATGAATCTTAAAATATTCTCAAAGTATTACTCGACAAAATCTTCCTTCGTTAGTCACGAAACTACAGTCCATAGTTCTCAATTACGGGAGCTTTCTTCCCATAATTTCCAATTTTTTTGCGAAAACTCTTTATACTTTCTGCCAATTTTTTACAGCTTCATGCTAACTGTAGACAGAAACCGAATTTTGAAACACCGTTTTTGCCTTTCTCTGGAAGACAACATCGTTGTGAGATGAATAGGATTATGACCGGTCGTCTGTTGTGGAGTAAGCCGAGTCGTGGTGGATTTTATTTTTGTCCTCTGTAAGATTATTATGAAAGAAGATTGAATTTAAGATATCTGTCTTTGACCCTCTTTCGTATTGTAACTTATAACGAATAAGATCTTTCACCACGGATATATCAGTACGTTAGAAGTGCCAAAGCGAACTAACGTTTTAGGATCCTTTGATTTACAATATATAAGAAGATCAATAGTGTTTCGCAGAAATAGCATGAACAATTTTTTCGGGAAGAGATTCTGAACACATTTGGAAATCTAAGTAATGCGAGAATCGCTCTAATTGTTTGGCAGTAAAGTCTTAGAAAAATTGTAAACTTCTAAGCATAGCATTGGTTTGAAGCAGCAAGTATGTGCAAATAAACAAGAATTTTCAATGGCCCAGGTCAATGGATACGGTCATTCGTATTTATGTACCAGCTCCATCTGGAATAGTATTCGATCAAACCGATACTATTGAAATTGAGACTCGATGGAACTAGTAATCAGTCAGACTAATCTGGACTTGTGTTGATGTGCAGTCTGTTATCTAGTCAGAATAAGACAAGTCTCTTCATATCCATACTTTAATTGTATTGGGTAAGTTCGTTTTACAACTCCATACGACATATAAATGAATCTTACCTCTTGGTACATTTAGTACTCACCCAACTCGACGTTTCTACTAGTAAAAAAACGGAGGACGAATGTTCGACTCAATTATGAAAGAATGAAGGTTTTCTTTGATTGAAACAATGTCACATACTCAAATGGACTCATAAGTCTCCTTTGAAAATTTTGGAATTATTGAATTGTGTAGAGAAGAGTTGAATTACGTGAATCGTGCTGTTTTTAATATTCAGTATGATGAGAAGAAAGCTTTTATTTTGATTAAAACTTCTGAGCACTGAGAGGTACTCAAAAATATGTTGTATTCACAATTAAATGACAACCATTTCAAAAAGAATTTCGGTGAGACTCAACCATTATATGCTTTTCTAAATCTCATTGAAATCGTAATCATATATATGTAATATATCAAGGTTTTTTTAAGCAATCTTTAGTTTTATTTAGATAAGAAGTCTTTAATAAATATTTATCAAACTGATGATAGAAAATCATAGTTTAGCTGTAAGCTTTTTTTCTATTGTATACAGAAAATCATTTTTAAAAAATCTCTATTTATGTCATTTTCAATATCCTTTTTTTTGCTTTGTATAGAATACTTACGGATTAAGTAATTTTTTCTGTATAATAAAACGTAGAATCTAAGGAAAAACAAAGAAAAGAATAAAATAAAATACTTATTGCATGTTACTAACTATAACATACATTAAGGAATTGTTTATGTTCAGAATTACTTGAAAATTTTGCTTTACTACTAAATTTTGATCTAAATATTAAAAAAACAAAAGAATTCAAATTATTTATACATATAAATAATAAAATAGATTACTGAAAATCATCTAATGCTTTATCTTCTAATCGTTGATTATCAGTTTTATCACTGCGTTCTAAATCATTTAGAATTTTGCCCAAAAGATTTCGATCTGTTGGACTAAAAGTATTAAAAATATAATCAACAATCATTTTTAAGAGCTTATTTTGTTTTTTGTTTGTCAGACTTACTCTCGTTTAGCTCGTTCATTAGAAGCCATATATTTTACATGAACAATCTTCTTTTATTTTTATCAAACTAAAAAATATCAAATTTTAATAATACAAATCTTTATAAGATAAAAAATAAAGAAAAAAGACCACTGTACTCTTATTATATGCAATGTCAAAAAGAATTTGATCATCATACTATATCAATATTTTATGAAGTACTTTCATCATCAAGAATTTACATATATAAATCATAGAGTGAATTAGACAGTCCATGCCTCTCAATACACCTGATAATTTTTCTCTGAAGAAAATTTTTATTCTACCAATTGAAGAAAAAAAAATCAAAGATCTAAATTATATAAAAGAAAACAGAACTGTTTTCAATTCCATTGACACGGATAGGTGTTTTGTTTACAGCTACTTTTTTTTTCTCTTTTTCTTTTGTTCTTTGATATTTAATACTCATCAACTAACGACATCTAGTCAACTTTAAAAAAAAAAAGAAAATATATTTTAAATTTGAACATTTCGAAAATTTTTTTTACATTCTTTTTTTTTATTTTCATTTTTATGTAAATAAAGATAAATTCTAATTAAAATACTAAATGACAATAAACGTCATTATTATATATTATCTTTCAATCAAAGTTATTTGTTTCAATTTGACCTTGTTTAGACTTAAGAGTTTTTCTTTTAAATTTCAAATGGATCAAGAAAGTGCAATGATGATTTTTTTATCTTATCAAAAATTACGAATGCCAACATTTAGTAAGTTTAATTAAATATTTAAAAATAAATAAAACATTTATCGTATGAATAAAATAGGTGTTCGACAACGACGAACAGAAAATCCTTTACGTGAACGTCTACTTGTTAGAAAATTTATTGTACAATTAGAAAATTAGTAAATGAAATATTTCAAAATAAAATTGATTATTTGTTTATTTATTACTTTTTTTAAATAGTTATTTTCAACAACAACAATTATCAATGACAGCAACAGATAATGAACAAATGGAAGTTGATCATGTACATAGATTCTCTTTAAATAAAATACAAAAAAAAAAAAAAAACTTTTTTTTTCTATTTTCAGGAAATTGAAGATGAAGATGATTAAATCTTTTCAATGCAGTATTTTTTTTTGTTTGTTAAACAACAATTATCTGTGCTTGTCTTTTAGTTACGTCTACAAAATAATAATGTCAGATTAATTATTATTATTATTATTATTTTTGTTTTGTTTTTGTATTCTTCTCGTATCTATTCAAATGTCAGACTTGTCATAATCATTGTCTTGTTTTTTTTTCTTCTTTTCTTTTCTTTTCTTTTTTTCTTTTTGATGTAACGAAATAAATTTATTCACTAGTTAATTTTGAAATGAAGAACATGAATTATTATTACAGTTCTTTCATCGTGCAGAAAAAACAATGTCAAGTGGATGATGAAGAAAAAGAAAAGATTATTTGCTTGATTTTTTTCTTAGTTGATTCTGTTATGACAACAGTAAATTGTGGTTTCATTTTAATTCATAACGACAAAAGAAATACTGTTTTTGTTCGGAATTCAATCACAACGATCGGATTACAAAAGTTCTTTTCGTAAGAGATTACTACTAGTTTTTGTTTATCTAATGGCATCTGTGGTCTCACCAGTTTCACGCCGTGTTCATTATCAATCTCAAATATATAATGGTTCACTATCACTAAATCAAAGTTTTTCAATAGCTGAACCATCAAATTTAAACGAATCTTTCTCTTCAACATCCACATTCTTCAATCCATTGATCACAGTCATCTATTCAACTTCATCATTATCAAAAGGTATGTTATCATAATAATAGAAATTAAAAAACGAGAAAAAGAAGTGTGCGTATGTGTGTACCTGTGTTTATGTCTTCAAGCAATAAATCCATTAACTGTACGAAGAAGTATGACATTGAAGCGTATATACCTTAAAGACATGTAAAAGAAAGAAAATGGTTTGCAAACAGTACAAAAAAAAGGAACAAGTTTTTAAAGTGCATAAGAATAATAGAATAGAAATCTCATTTTTATGGATCGAGAAAAAAAATGACAGGCAAGTGAACTAAACATGGAAATATCTAGACAAAATACCTTCATAAGTTCCATTTCAGCAGTAAAAACAACAGATAATAAAAAACAAATTATCTCAGAAACTTGTACATTTATTAGACTTATTTATGGCGGTAATATATTATTATTAATTTATTTTTTTAATTTGAGATTTTATTTAACGCGTTTTTTAATGTAGAAAATCAACAGCTACTTCTGAATAGTTATGCTTCATGTCATCGTTTATTAGATCATATAAAACCAATGGTTGGTGTCCAACAAGATGGTAAAAAGAACATTTGTTACTTATTTTTTTGTCAAGTATTTAAATAAAATTATTTCTATCTTTTACAGAAGTAATTGATCTTATGGATAATGAAGGAAAATTAAAAGAATTACATGCACACGGTGATGAATATGCTTCACAATATCTTACTGGAAGAAGTACATACTACGTACTTAAAGTTGAAAGTAAAAATGAAATATTTTTACTAAAAAAAATTTTTTTTTTTTATTTATAAAATCTAAATTAAATATTTAGATGACATAGCAGCAGGTGAAAAACGTTATATACCAAATTTTAATCTTGATCAAATTGATCAAAAAATATATACAATATTAACAAGTAAAATTCAATTAAAAGAAAAAAAACAAAATTTTTTATTTCAAGGACTGCTTATATTTCTTCTTTGTATTTTTTTTAGCTTCATTAAATTCATTAAATAAATCAGCAAATAAAACAAAACGTACTACTGGAGCATCAAAACAAAATACACCATCTCAAGCATCATCGAATGCAACACAATCAAAAACGAAACGAACATCAAATCGAAAATAAAAATTCGAATTTCATTAAAAATCTCTCTTTGTCTTTTTTTTAATGTGTCATTGAATTTGGTTTTTTATATTTTGCTCCTATTTCTATAGTTCGTCTTTTTTTTGTTGAATGAATTATTTGGTGATTTGATTACTTGTTTGATTCTAATATATGAAGCAACAAATGATTACAGATCATGATCAAGTATGGATCCGTCACAGTTTTGATAGTGGTTGATCTGGTACGAATCTTCAATAGTTCTTGTTTTATTACTAATTGTTTTTGTCATTTATGTTAGGTATATGCAAGATCTAGCTTTCTAACCGTTAAACTCGTATCCTATCAAGTAGAACTAATTAGACTATAGATTGAAAGCATTTTTTGTCAATCTATTTCTGCAAGTTTTATTTTTACTTCAAACAGACGCTGAACCTACTCAAATTCCGAAGTGATTGATTTTGATGAAGAGATTCGAACAAAACTAATTACCGGATCAACTAATCAGTCAGTACTTCTTCCACTACTGATAACAGCAGATATTAAAGTGTGGAATGATGTGGAATAACATGTTCTACCTTTATGCCTTTCAAATAGAAGAGTATAGGTCTTGATTTTTTGCGTAAACGAATACTATAGATGCTTGGATAATTCAGATTAGAAAAGTAACTTCAAAAAGAGAACTACAAAAGTAAATTGCTGACTCATTTAACTAATACCATAATGTGATGAATAGTAATGTTTTCGTAATCTAAACTAGATAGTAATTTATTTTCTGCTTCGACAGAAGACCACGTCATGTGGAAGAGCGCTCTATTCTGAAAGAGTTTCTACATAAAAGCAGCCTTTTTTCTATCTGAACTACTAATTTCATTATGTTAAAATAACAGAATGACAGATTTCTATGCATCTAAAATAACGTTACACTCGAATATTTCCTTAAGTAGTACTATGGACATTCTGAATAACGTACAATGTATACAAAATCTTTGACTTTTCAAGTCTTGATTTAATCAATTGTCTCTTCCAAAGTTTAGTTTTCGCTTGAATCTCTTTGAATTGTACGATAATATGTTAATCAACATAAATTAAACTGCCAGCTACATACTTCTCTCTATAATTATATATTATTATATGTTTGTAGTGATAAGAAGGAAGACATACGAAGTCAACTTCAATTTCCTTCCATTCCTGTCTTGTCCCATGCAAAATTTCACAAGAAAACACTGTAAAAAATACTGATATTTATTTTATGATTCTAAATGTGAAGATTCATATGTCAAAAAATAAGCCGTGCGAATTCGCCCATATCAAGGCATTTCGAACTGGAAATAACGTCAATCAACTACATACTAACATAATATTGTGGCTTAAGTCTATTCTTCAGAATATGTGTAAATTTTTTGCTATATAATCGAAAACTAATAACTATTTTTTGATCTTAATTGGACTTAGTTATAACGATTCTTAGAACCGAAGACAATAAGATCTAGCCAATTCATATTGTTTTGATTTCGATGAACTTGTTTTGAGGTAGGCCATTCTTAAACACCGATCAATTTGTCAAGGTGTTCTTGAAGAATGACTAATCTAGAATTAAAAAATATGCAAAAAATGTATAAGTTCAATATAGTCAATCTAGTCGCTAGTAAGTAGTTCTACACACTTAACAAGATGGTGAATCAATGACTAATCAATAGGTTATGAGATGTTTTATTTTAGTATGAACACATTGTATGATTGATCTTTAACCAAAACCTTTGTACAAATGGTTTAAGTGTTGCTGAATAATTGTATAAATATTGTTCGAGACGAATATAACAATTAAATGCTTATTTTATTGCTTTTATTTACTTCTGCTTATTGTTTTTTTCGTATGTTTCGACCAAGAGAAAAAATTCATATGAAGTTTTCATTGATTCTGAAAGCTATCATAAAGAGCACCAAAACTGTATACTTTTCGATAGTTTTTAAAGTTGATTTTGTTAAATAAGAGAAATTGAATTTCATTTAGACACTAGTTTTTTCCATATTTTTGAATAGTATTTAACAAATATCAATCAGATAAAATATACGATTGGAATCAAAACCAATGACATATTTAGAATCAGCCCAAAGCAAAAGTTGACTGATATGTCTTTCAAAGTTTTCTCCTTGTTAAAGTTTTTTCAAGTTAAATTCGACTGAAATTTCCGTCAGGATTCAGTCAAAGAAATTAATTTAATTAGAAAATCATTGGAACAATGAATGCCGAATTCTGTACTTGCAAAGTATTATACTAGAAGGCAAAATGACAATTAACTAAACAATAAATATAGTGTTTTGATTAAATTAATTTTTTCACTGAGCCCTAAGGAGGACTTCAAAAGAGTTTTTCGAGATAACAAAACTTCAACGAATAGAAAAAATTTTGAAATACATATAAATCGGTTAATTCGTTTGATTTTAATTTTAAATATTTTATGAATTATTCATTACATTATACTTTTTTTCTGATTGAAATATGTTAAATACTATTCGAAAACTATTGAAAAGCATACGTATCTATGATCCTTCTTTCAAACTTTCAGAATAGATTAACATTTCATTTGGTTGTCTTTTACTTTCTTGAGATATAGCAGAAATTGTAAACAGAAGTAAAAAGAAGCGATAAGATAAGCATATAATTTTCATACTCATGTCCAACGATATTTATGTAATGACTCATGAGTGAATCCCTTGTGCTGTAACGCTATAAGATAGAACTTATTTGAGCCAAGTTATCATTCTCGCTATCAAACTAACCAATTGAAAATATGAGGTATCCGTAATGCAGACAGACCAAGATATAATAATTTCAAGGCATTCACCCTATTTGTAATATGACTAACAATGCAAAATTTCAACAGAATATTTGTTTTTTGTCATGATAAAATACAAAGTTGAGTAACGAATAGGACGATCTTGCCGACTGGTGGTCTTATCTAAACTTCACTGTGAGTCCATTGCAACAACACAGCGAATAAATGACCTGTTGATTAAAAGTTTAAGACTGGCCTACTCAGCTAAATCGAATAAAATATTTTCGATATTGAAATGAGACGAAAGGAGAGTTGGACGATGAGAATAAAGATTAAACCTATAAATAATTTTTAAACGAATCTATGTGAAAAAATTTCGATTCTCATCTCGTATAATACTCTATCAATTCATTTGATATTTAGCCGCTTCCAGAATTTAGTTTTTCAGAGTTTTTCTATAATTTCTATTCTTCAAACGAAACCAATAAAGTTGAAGGTGATCACGAGATCGGCACTTAGAGTGGAGGCCCAGTCGATAGGAAAGACTGACTCTTTAGAATTATAGTTTTCTTTTGATATAGTTGAAATTTATTGTATATACCAAGAGATAAATCCACTGGTTTACATAAATTCTGATAGCTCATCAATATGAAAGGTTCCATTATCGACAATAATTCAAGCATTCGTGCTGAAAGTATTATCAAAGATAGATTATAGAATGTGTGGCAGCTTGACATAGTTCGTGAAACTCTATATCAGTCAAGCTATAAATGGAAGGATTTATCTCTTTTAAACAGACTAGTTCTCCGTCTCCGCAATGGAAGGGTTTGGCAGAAAATGTCGAACGAAAAAATAGCGAAAGGTCGAAAAGAAAAATGTACAAGATTAAAATAGCGAAAGGCAGAATGTCGAACAGGGTAAACATGAGACAGGAAACTATCGAAAACGAAATTTTTCTGCTTCAGGCGTAATACTAAGACATTTTGTTTAAAAATGTAGAAAAAAAACCTATCAGGGGTGTGCGCCGGTGTAATTTTGAGTGTGGTTGGATTATTAGCATACCAACAGTCCCCCACCCACATCCATACTCACTTCCCCCCCCCCCCCTCCCCCTCTCGCACATATCCACACCCAGAGACATATATGGTACATAGACAGTTGAGTCTTCAACATTTGAGCCTCGACAATTGAGCCTACACATTTGAAAAACGGACATCTAAGCCTTCTAATATTTGAGTCTTTGACATTTGAGCTTCTTGACTGTTGAGCCTCTTGCAGGCAAGTCTTGCCAAGTGACTGAACCTTCCATGTGAGTATATTTGAAACCTTCAGAATAAGTACTGTCGAAATGATTGTGGGTATGGGAGTGGGGGTTGTGGGTGGGTGGGTGGGTGGGTGAATGGGGGTGCGGGTGTGGATATGAGTGAGTGAAAGAAAGAACAACACCTACATCCCCCACCCCCCCACCCCCCCCACCCTCACACCCATACCTCATACCTAACATGCACACTCCACCCACACTCACATCACACCCGTACCCCACACCCACATCACAACCATACCGCACACTTACACCCACATCCCACACTCTAGTTGTAATAAATCCTTCATTTTGTTAATTGTTTGACTTAAAATGGCAAGAAGCTCAAAAGAAAACAGACTCAACTGTCCAAGGCTTAAAAGGCAACAGATTCAAATGTCTAAGGCTCAAATGTATAGGCTCAGCTGTCGAGGCTCAAATGTCGGAGGCTCAGCTGTCGTGTCACCGACATCTATTTATTCAACCGCATTATTTTGAGGTTTTTCCCGATGTTTTCCTTTCGATGTTATCCCTTTCACTATTTTTTCTTCTATGTTTGTCTTTTCGACCTTTTCACTATTCGATATTTTCCTTTTTGATGTTTTCCGTCAATTCGATTAAAGGGTAGGACGGCGAAGATCTTTTACAACGTTCGGCGCCTCGCTTGTTCAAAGAGATTTTTTTATGACGGAGGGGTTTAGTTGATTGTTTATCACTTTTTATTGCGTGGAAAATTTATAATATCCAGGGTACAAAATGATAGTCTTAAAACGAACGCTCCCATAAATAAATATTTGATTTAAGCAAAACTTATGAGTCAAGCATTTGACGTATTAAATTGAAAAGTAAATACTATAAAGACTTTCTCTTAACTAGCGTATTCAAATTAATTATACACACTTCCTTGATAACAGATTCAAACACGCTGCTAACAAAATATAAAATGCAATAGATCATAAAAGAATAGAAGCTATGTATACATATATGCAAAGATATTTATTAAGAAAATGCACAACAATTATACTTAGTACTCTTAGAGATTTTGTGATTGTTAAAAAAACTTTTTTTAAGTGAAAGACATATGCTGATCTACGTAAAAGGTAAAAAGACATTAAATGATTATATCGTGAAAAAAATATAATCCTCTTACCGACGTACTTTTTTTTTGTAAAAATTATTCGTTCATCTGAAAAACTCGGAGACAAAAGTAAGCTAGATCTCATTTGTCATCTTAATCACAGTGTAAAATAAATACAAGTCTTAATTAACCGAAAATTGATGATAACATTCTCATTTTCTCTCGAATTTCAGGAAATGATATACGATTTATGGGTTCATAAGCCCAACATTGTTGAAGAATTAAATAAATATCAATATTACATCCATCGGGTTTTGAATGCACTTCACGATTGATTGCAACTCGACGTGATACATCTCGATCATTGTCTATATGAGGATATGGTTTTAAAGGATTTTTAAGCATAAGTTGAGTAATTAAAATACCAAATGCCCAAACATCACTTTTTGATGAAAAGCTAGCATAGATTTGTCTGCGAAGTTGATCAGTAGGTTGATTAGTTTGAGATTGCATTGATTTTGGTATACATTCAGGAGCAAGAAAACGAACTTGAAATCTATATTCACCACTACTTGTAATGGCGCGTGAAAGATTATTTTTTCCTTCTTCTTTTTGTATTGCATGACCAAAATCAGCTATTCGAATATAACCATAAGAATCAATAAGAACATTACTTGCTGTTAAATCACGATGAACAATATTTTTCTTTTCAAGATAGATCATTGCATTAGCTATTTGAAAAGCAATATTTATAATACGACACGTTTTTGATACTATTGTTCGAGCTCGTAATGGACAAATTGATATAAGTGACCTTCCACCATGTGCAAACACTAAATAATTATTTTGATGATCAGAATAATGTCCGAATAGTGAAATAATAGAAAAAAAACAAAGTTGCTTGAGTAAATTCAGTTCATTTTCATAGTAAGGACTATCTTTTGTAAAACGTTTAATAAATATTTTAATATCATCTTGATTAGGTCTTTGCCAAATAGCGTCAGATATTCCATTATTATTTTTACCACTAAAACGATCATTATTAAAATTAATATGATGGAAGTCTTTTGAATCTAAGATCCAAGTTGGATCTTCGTTTGAAAGAATTAATTCATGTGTTAATGGAGTATACTTTTCTAGTTGATTACGTTCTGGATTATATTGTTCTAATAATTGTGCAAGATTTTCTTGACCATTCGATCCCATTAATGATAAACGATAATTCATTACTAGACATTTATATGAAGCTTCATCGACACGTACTGATAATACAACATAACGATTTCTTCTCAGAGGTGTTGTTGATTGATTATTTATTTGAATAGATGAAAGTATTTCATCGTTCTCTGTTTGATACCGAACAATATATGTGCCATATGGTTGTGGCACTAAAGCTTTAATAACATAGGCTGGCGATACCTTTTGAATTGTTGGTAAATTGCGCATGGATGCGAAAAGAAAAGTAATATCTACAATGAAATGTCTCCAACTAGATGCATAGTATTATGATACAGAAGAAAAAAAATCATCGCTAAAAATAGCTTATTTTTCATGATAAAATATGTTGTTACATTGTTCGGCGAAATTCTATCATTTTCAAGCGTTGACGTCGCCGAAAGAGAATTTTGTCTGGTTCTGTTTCTCGTAAAACGTCAATACACTTACAAGAAGTATGGCGTTTTTTTGTTTAGTCTTTTATCATCGAAAATTCATGAAGCATATTGAAATTTTCGTGTCATAGAGTTTGCTTAGACTCCTATTCCTATGAAAAACGCATGTTTTCGTTTTAACTCAATACGATCGTCTGGTTTCATTCTCTTAGAAAATAGTATCCTTTTACGCGAGAGAAAAAAAACACATTTTTCATCGACATTTTTTCTTTCCTACCGTCGACTGTTCTTGAAGAATAATGACATTGGCTTTTCGGCGAAAAATAAAAAAGAGCAGCTTAAAATCCGAGAAGAAACACGATGAATAAAATGTAATAACAAGTACAAAAAAGGCACAAGATATACTTTGAAGCTTCTAATAAATTCTATTTATAGTCAGCTGCATACGATATGCGTCTGTACTGTCCGAATAATATCGTTCTAGAAGTTCAATTATAATAAAACCATGTTTACAATATAAATTATATGCATGCATGTTTGATGTATTTACTTCAAGTTCAACAATTGATGCACCTAATCGACGAGAATAATCTATCATATGATTTAAAAGTATTCCACCTAAACCACGACCACGCTGATTTGGATCAATACATAAATTTGCTATATGTGATACATGTTTGTCTATACATTGAAGACCGTATCCAAATACTAAATAATCATTTGTAGTACTTGTAAGTATCCAACAATGCCAAAGTGGATTATTAAGATAATCAAAAAAATGTTCAAAAGACCATGATTCATTAGGCCAAGTGATCTGCTCAATTTTAACTATTGTGTCAATATCCGTTTCCCGCATTCGTCTAATTCGACATCGAGTCGACCTTTCAATATTGATTGGTAATACTTGATAATTATCATTGCTACGAATATCGGAAGGCATTGTTGAAAATCCGTTGCATAATGAAAATGGAAGCATCATTTATTCTACACAATTGAAATGATTCATGGGCATGATATATTCTTAGTCAACATTTGAGAAATGTGAATGAGTCACATATGAATAATGTTTGTCTATTAGCAAATGACGTCAAAAAAGTATACTTTTTCTTTCGTCAATGAATTTGCTTTACTAACAAAAGAAATTTCAGCGAAAGATGACAACGTAGAAATGCGAACAGAATAAAATGTTTGGTTTCTTTGCAGGAAAAAACAACAACATACAATTTTTATATACTTAATACAATAAAATATAGACATGAACACTTCTGACTGTCTTTCGAAAGATAATATATGAAAGCAAATAGAAATAAATTACAAGTAGTTGAACCTTGATATTAATAACAATAATGAGATAGAGCATGAATGTTTTGATATCAAAAAAAGATATTCGATAATTACAAAGGGTATGTCGACCGACAATAATAATAAAACAGACTGTTTTATATGAAAGAGCCGCGACGACCTTGAACTATACGAAAAAACAATATTCTCATATCCGATAATTTTTTTCAATATGAAAATAACCTCAACAAAAGATGGCCTTTCTAATAACTTGATTTCGATAGGCAGGGCTGCTAGCTTCGATCAATGGCGATAGTGAAAATCAGATTAAAACATCATTATTGTTACATATTCATACTTTTTGACTTCTTACGGTCTTTTAATAATACAGAGAAAGATAAAACATCTTTCATAATTAACATTTAGTATTGGAAAAAGTTTTATTAGTTTTAGGCTCCATTACTAATGTTTCCTTTCTTTTAAAGCTTCAAAACAGGTTTTTTTAAAACATTTAAGCACCTCGGACAACAGCAAAAAGCCTAACATACTTTGTTTTTTTTTTGCTGACGAAATGTAGAAAAGCTAATGGTAAACCATGGACTACAAATTGGCATCGGATATTATTCCTATTAGAAACACTGCTTCAAAAGCTAATATATCATTAGTAGAAAAAGTCAAAACAACTGACAATTAAAGAAAAACATAAAAAAGAAAAGAAAGTATAGAGATACGAAAATATTGAAGTGAAAAATATAGAGTAAAAAATATATCGAAGTAGAATATCTCAAGAAGAGCCTTTCACATTCAAAAGATGTCACGAGTATATAAGACTTGAAACCTCTGAAACGGAACCTATTAAGGATGTTCAATTTACATTTACGAAAATTTATCAAATCCAAAACTAAATTGTGGAAAACTTAAATTGAAAATGAATTTAAATTTCTTTATCATGAAAATTTAAATTTATTTTAAATTTAAATTGGATTTCAATCGATTTACACTCATTCAAATTGGATTTACATGAGTTTTAAAAGGATTTTATGCATGAGATTTGGATTTAAACCCATTTAAGTCAATTTAAATCGATTTAAATCCAATTTAAATTTACAATAAATTCACAAGAAAATGAGACGCCTAGAAACTAAACTATCCTGATTCTAGAAATGATTCATATATACACTTCAATCATATGAGCAGTTATTCGATGAACAAATTTAATTGTCAAACTTGTTTTAATTCATGTTTAATAGGAAAATTCGAGTAATTTATAATTTACATGAATGATTTTCAGATATTGCATTGATTTTCATTTTCAGATGAATTTATTTGTTTAATTATTTTGTGATTTGAAGATTCTCATCATTTCATTTCGTATATCCCAAAATGAAATACGATCTTCAGGATTATAACTCCAACATTTTTCTAATATATCATAAATACTTTTAGGACAATTATCTGGTTTCTTATGCATCATGCGTTCTAATTTAACATGTTGAATAATTTGAATAATCTCATCATCATTATTACTTTTGATCGGTAAATATGGATATACATCGTTATTTTCTTTCATCATAAGTTCTATAAATATAAGTCCATATGCCCATACATCACTTTTCGAAGAGAATCTAGTTAATAGAGTTTCTATTGAATCCATGAGTTGTCCATCTTGAGGAGGCGATGATAAACATTCAGGTGCTAAACGACGTGTTTGAAAGTTCAATTTTGAATTCTTTATTGATTGCTGAAATCTCTCATCATCATCATCTTTTATAATAGCATGACCAAAATCAGCAATTCTTACATAATCATTTTTATCACTAAGAATATTTCTAGAATGTAAATCTCGATGAATAATATGTTTATATTCTAAATAAATCATTCCACAAGCTATTTGATATCCAATCATTGATAATTTTTTAACCAAAAGTCTTTTTGTATCTTCAACTATCGGACATAATGATTTTAATGATTTTCCGTTATTTGCAAAAACTAAATATTTAATTTGATCTGATTCATAACAGATACCATAAAATGAAACAATATGAAAATAAGAAAGGTTTTTTAGTATAGAAAATTCATGTTGAAAACTTTGTTCTTCATTTTTCATACGTTTATTATATACATCGATTGTCATACTACCATCTTGAAAGTTACATATTGTACTTCCTTCTATATCATTATTATCATCATCAGATGAATAGATATAGATATAAGATTTTTGAAAAAGATTTCGTTTAATTTCCCAATTTGTATCTCCTTCTGTAACAATGCATTCTTGTTTTAATGTTGGTAATTCATCAATTTCAGAATTATTTTCATTTTGTTTATATTCTTCCAAGATCTTTATAGTATCGTGTTCACCATTTGGTCCAATCAATGGTAAACGATAATTCATTATTGGAGATGGATACAAAGTTTCATCGGCACGTACAGATAAAACAACATAAGGACAAGAGTTTGTTTCTAATTGAGTTTTAATTTGTGAAACTATGTCATCATTCTTAGTCGAAGCTCGTATAAGATATGTTCCTAATGGTTTTGAAATAAGTTCATGAACGACACGAGATGATTCAATATTTTGAATTCGTGGTATAGTGATCATTGAAGTTTTCTAGTTTTTCATCTAAAACACTATAATTTAATTAAAAAAAATAATGAATTGATAATATCTAGAAATACAGAATGGTAATTTAAAGCATTCTTCACGTTTTCAGTAATAAAAGCAATGCAGTTTAGGTTAAGCAAATATACTTTATCTTTATATTCACCTAGTTTTTTTCATGATGTAGTGTCAATAATCACGACCTTCTCAAGAGTATTCTTTGCAGTCGATCGTAATTTTTAAATACATAAACTCGTTCGAATTATATATAATGCATACATTTAACAACAACCAAGTTGCTATCCTTTGTGTGCAGCTTTTTGTACACATTTTCCATTGTCATGACAGTAATGGCTTTCAAACAGGTTCTTTTTGATTTTCTTATAATAAACAAAAGAACGAAAAAGAAAAACAAAGCGTTATAATTATAAAGGAAGATTGAGACACAAATATTGCTATACATTAATATTACTTATAGTGAAAGTACTATTTGATAAGCATCTGCATATTTAGAATAGAACTGAGGCACGAGTCGAACTATTTGAAAACAATATTTGTGATATAATCTATGTACATGTATACCCAATGTATTTACGGTTAGTTCAATAACCGAAGCATCGAGTTGACGTGCATAATTTATCATCTAATGTAAAAGTTCGAACACCATAGTCAGGTACTAAATTATTATTATTAGCACTTTTAGATATCCAAAAATTTCAAGATGGATAATAATGAGGGTCAGAAAATCTTTCAGAAAGTCATAATTCATAAAGCTACGTCGCTTGTTCGATTTTAACTACTGTTGCAATATCAGTCCAAGTATTGATCGAATTCGATATGTTTTTTGTTGATTAGAAACATTTATATTTATTTCAGGAAGCATTAGACAAAACTACTCACGTAGCGAAGTATCGTATTTGGTTTTTGCATTGAATCGTGTTGATAGATGAATCATTTCTACTTGTCTTCCTTGCTACTTTACTCATAGAATGAAAAGAATGTTGCTGTTATTTTTCTTTATTAAAAAATATATGTACGTTGCACAACTTCCTGTGGAATGGGCTAATCTCATTTCATCTCATAGGATGCAACAAATATCTCATAAGATTTCATGAAAGAAACAGCTTTTGCAACAATCTTTTTTTTTATTAAAAACAAAACAATCGTTTTGAGGTGTAGATGTCTTTCTTTCTTATCGAAGTATGAACTTGGCTACTTAGTTTATAATCAGTCTTTTTAACTAATTTTAAATGACATAAAAATGAAGCTTATATACACAAATGTATATATTATAGTTGTGTGTCACACATATTGACATCATTTATTACGACTCTTTTCTTGACAACAACCAATATTGAAAATAAAATCCATAAACGTATTGTCTGTTGATATTTTTATTGTTGTTTGTTACTTCGATACAATAGGTGTATTAAATACGTAACAATATAGAGTTTATCTTGCCCATCGCTCCCACAAATTAGTTCATTTTCACCTACGATGTGGCTTGCCTATTGCAATATCGCCAAATGAATTAATAACGAAAAACGAGTGTGGGTCAAGTACGATTCGTTAGGGTGTGAATTTCAGTGTGAAGAAAACAACCACATTCCCATCCGTGCTCACACTCACGAACGCTCATACATATACAGCGCTCTAAAGATCGAATAGTCTAAAATCGAAGACAATTACGGATTTAGCATGTTACATATATGTTAAATTTGATTTTCTTAAAATAAGATAAAAGAAACGATGAAATTATGCTGTACTATATGATATATGAATACGGGTCGGATATTGATAAAAAAAAGTCATACGTGCGTAGTAGACTAACGCATTTATTCTTGTTTGCGTAAACGCATAATACTTTCTATTCTCATGAAGCATTTAGTTTCATCAATGGAACACGTGCATTGATATAAGTAAACATAGCATATAAGTATTGTAGAATTATTGAAAGATCGTATTTGAGAATGAAAATGTAACAAAGCCAATGAAAACAGGATTAGGATTTGCTTAAACTTGTTTTCAGGAAAACTTGACTACAAAAGAATAGGTTCTACCATGCATGATGCTGCTTACCTATAAGAAAAACGATGAATTGCGAAAATATACGAATACACATTTCTGCTCGATAATTGCATAGTCGAGATCATATTAATCATCTTGAAGCATGTCACTTCACTTTTTTTGAAGTGACGCATATGATAGCGTTGAATAGATTTCAATAAAAGCTATCGATTGGTGTATATAAAAGTGATTGATGTTTTATATTTGTAGAATAAAAAAAGGTGAAACTTGCTTCGACGGCTAAGATACTATTTCATAGAAGTATGCAAACATGTTTTACTTTGCACTAATGTATAGAATTCATTGACAACTATCGATAATACATTATCCGAGTGTCTAATGAAGGTTTTAAGAGTTGAATAATTTAGTAAGAAAAAGACAAAAAAAACAACAGTTGCTTATATTAATAAGTAAACGATCATCTGAATCGTAGTCGTTTGTGTTGCTACCGAATCTTTTACAGCCGTTTTATTCGACATAGAGAATTCTGAGAGAAGTCCGACACTCACTTATGAAACACTTTGTAAAGCTTCTCGTTTTGAAAGATTTTACATATTTTTTGATAATCAAAAGTGGTTTCTTAGCGTTAGTATGAAAATCAGATCGAAGAAAGCTATCCAATTTGGTGGAATGAAATTGTTTGAAAAGTTGCTTTACATAGCGCTAATCATTTAAAAATTAGTGTCACAATACCTTGTTTTTTTGTTTTAATATTTTCTACTGTATATGATTCGATAACAAGTTACATAAAAGTTTATATTAAGTGCAAGATACCAGCAGAAATAACCTTTTACGAATGTATGATAATTGATATGTTTCTAGACATAAGTCTGAATCTTAAAGTCTTCAATACTCAAAATAAGTATGCTTATTATTACTGAACAAACTTAAGAAACTTATTCATCCTTTTTATTGCGAGAGATTATACTATATAATTCTTTTAATAATCAATAGTAATACATCTCACCCATGATAAGAACAGGTGTTCCTCCTTCTAAACACTACTCTTACATTTCAAGAATTTTTTTGCAGAAATCTATTTTTGTATATTCTTTTTTTGATTAATTACCTATATATTCGATAATAAGTTGATGATAAGCCAACAATGAACTAAATGATGATTTTTTTTTCACTAATATGTTAAAATAGCTAACAAATGCACTTAAACAGATTTGACTAATATAGAGAAATAGTTCAGAGTTGAATTAAATTTCGAAAGAATACATAATTTCACAGCCTTAGCGATAGGCATCACATATTTTATTTATAACCTCGCATCAAAAGTTTACATAAAGACTGTTTCCTATAGATTACTAAGCTTTTGCAAATCTATGAAGCACGTAAATAACAAGACGCTGTTCGAGATTAATTCTATAGTGTTTGGTTATAGTTTGAAATTACTGTAAAAGAGCGTATAGAATAGTAAACCCCACCAAATGATTTATTACTTTACGCTTTGTAATAATTGATTTACAATTAAACTCATCTAATGAAAAATATGTCGGCTAGAATAAAGGTTTTTGCAATAAAATAGATGTTTGGAATAGTTTTAGAGTAATTAAAATACATATTTATTGTTATAAAAGCAGTGTAACCATTTTATCGCTATTTTTTTAAAAGAAAATCAACAAAACTCTATATATAAATTCAATATTCGATCTATGTCCATTGAAATAAAAGGTTACAATTCAGTTTGCTGAATGAATCATAGTTCTCGTCCTACACGGTGCTCTATCGTGATTTGATCTTCTTTGCACTTTATAGAAAACAACATGATATTAAGCAGCATTTTATTGTAAGAATTTTTATCATAAAACAATCATCAGTCTATCCTATTAATGTCAGTGAACTATCTGTAGATACAAAGTTGGTGCTGTTTTTGATTACAATATGTCTTTTACAGACATACGTGTTATTTAACTATGCTTTTAATGACAAAAACAAAATGAAGGAAAGAGATAAGATTACAAATATTCAATATAAAAAGAAGTAAATTGATTGACATTTGTCTATTTTTCAGACAATGTTGAATCGGTTACGCGCGCTTATTCGATCAAGAAATACTCTTCAACAACCATTTGAAGTAGTTAAACATGAACTTCACTGTTTTGTTCTTTGTTCATATAACATCAATAAATGAATTTTTTAGGAGATAGAATCAACTAAAAAAGAAGAACAAAGAGAAGAATGGGATCGGCCAATTGAATTTATTCTTTCATTAGTTGGTTGTTCTGTTGGTATGGATTAAGAATATTAATTTATTTAGTCTTATTTTATTTGATATTTCAGGTCTGGGTAATGTGTGGAGATATCCTTACATTGGTAAGTAATGACTACAAGTATTCTATACTGATGTTCATCTTTTTGTATAGCATTCAAAAATGGTGGTGGTAAGAATAGTTGAAAGTCATCTTGTCTATTGCACATGTTTTATTGATATAATAGGTGCTTTTCTTATACCGTATTTTTGTGTTTATTTTCTTATTGGAACACCACTTTATTTTCTTGAACTATCACTTGGTCAATTTACTAGTCGTGGTGCAACAGCAGCTTTTAAAATGTCACGTATGTTTAAAGGTAATGTAGATATTTTATCTTGATATGAAAATAAATGATATTTTTTTGATAATAGGACTTGGTTGGGCAATGGCAATTAATTCATTTCTTGTTACCATCTATTACAATATAATTATTGCTTGGTGTCTATTTTATTTTTTTGCTTCATTTCGACGAAAACTTCCATGGAGTGATTGTGGAAATTGGTGGAATACAGACAGTTGTTCAAATCCAGGTTGTATTTTAAATGAAAAAGAATTAATAAAATTATGTTGATTGTTTTAGATCCATCAAAGAATGCAACGATAAATTTTCTTTGTCTTCCCACTAATCAACTAAACAATTGTTCATTACCTACATCACCACCTGAAGAATATTTTGAGTAAGATTCTTAAAGTATTAGCTTTTTCTATTTTAAGTCTAAAATAAAAATATGTTAATAGTAATTATGTTTTACGACGAAGTAATTCATTAGATGCAATGGGTTCTCCACATTGGTCTCTTACGCTGTGTTTACTCTTAGCATGGATACTTGTTGCTGCTTGTATTATTCAAGGCATTAAATCATCTGGCAAAGTAAATGAGAACCTACTTAGAGCATATGCAAAATAGTGGTGAAGGTATTTTTATTCTTTATTGACAACCTTAAATATTATAATAATAAAATTTCGATAAAAACTATTTCTTAAGATATGTGATGGCATAATATAGTTAGGACACGCTGGTACCAGTATTTAGAGATGTAAGCCGATCGATATATCCGCTGCCATTGCGACAGAAGAATAGACATTTGATTTTTAAAGTTTTCCAACGTTTTAAATTAGTCTTTTGAAGATGTTACCGTCTGATTTCATGCAAATAAGTTCTCTATTATAGTTTTTCTTATTTTTCATTGCAAAATTTCTCAAAATTACGAAAAAGTTTTGAAAAAACACAAAGATTTCAGTCGTCGCAATCGATCGATTCATCAGTTTATACCTCTACGAGTATTTATCAAAGCGCTGGAACACATCGCTACAAAAGAAGCGTATTTTGGACATAGTTGATACCTCCATAGTAAAGTAAACGTGGATGTCAGTAAAATAAATTCTTCAATGAACACCTATGACAGATCAAATTTCATTCGTTGAACCCATTTATAGTGTTCTTTTCTTGTATATTTTCCTTTGTTCCAAGAATGTATGAATTTATTTTGCAGCACGATGCAACGATTTGGAATAATATTGGCCACTTAGATTTTGTTTGATTACGTCGAATAAACTAGGAAAATCTCACTGATATTGTTTCTTTATTTCTTCTCTTTCTTTCTACTAACATTACTTTCTCTATACTCTAAAATGTCTAGATGTTTAAGCATCAGAACAAAGGGAATATCAAGAAGAAGATACATATCGAAGACAATATGACATCTAATATTATTGTCGCTCATCATAACAAACGGCTCTTATCGAAATTTTATTATTATAATATTAGTGAAAGAGTTATCAAACATTACAGAAATGTAGAGCATTGCTTTTGTTATCGGATCATATGGAGAGAAAGTTTCTTTAAAATTTTTCATAAGATACTTAAATACCTTCGCCACTATTTTTGGTAGACGCTACGTAAATTTTAATGTTATGATTCTATTTATTTTTTAGGTAGTTTATTTTACTTCATTATTTCCTTACGTTGTAATTTTTGCTTTGGTTATTCGTGGTGTAACATTACCAGGTTAATGAATTTATTTATTAGACATTTATATGATTGTGTGTATTATTAAATAGGTGCAGCAAATGGAATTTCATTTTATTTAACACCAAACTGGAATAAAGTTCGAGAATTTGATGTGTGATATTGTTGTGGAAATAATTATTCTGGGAATTGATGTTCGTTTTTGTTTAGGTTTGGATTGCAGCTGCTTCTCAAGTTACTTTTTCTTTGTCAGTAGGATTCGGCTCCATACTTGGTTATGCTAGTTTCAATAAGTTTAAGTCCAATTATCTTAGGTTAGATATTGCTTTTATTGCCTGTACCAAATTCTTTTTTCTTGCTTTCTTTCTAGAGATTGCATAATTGTCACAGTTTGTGATTGTTTTACTTCGGTGAGTGATTAATAAAATAAGATAAATTTTTATATAGTGCAAAGATAATAGGTATTTGCGGGTTTTGCTGTTTTTCCTATTCTTGGTTTTATGTCATATAAAACAGGTTTACCTGTTGATCAAGTAGCTAAAGCTGGACCAGGCCTAGCTTTTATTGCTTATCCACAAGCATTATCAATTATGCCTGGTGGTCCATTTTGGGCGGTGATATTTTTTTTTATGTTGCTCACACTGGGTCTTGATTCTCAAGTATTAATTTTAACAAATGAATTAAAGATGAATTTAATTTTAAATATTTAGTTTGCACTTTCTGATGTAACTATATCAGGTTTACTAGATACGTTTACTAGTCTACGACGTTATAAACCATTTATTATTCTTGGATATTGTGTAGTTTGTTTTTTATTAGCACTTCCTATGTGTGCACCGGTAAATAGAACAATAAAGTACCTTGAAAATTTTTATTTATTCGTTTTTGTTTCGTATTTCTAGGGTGGGATTTATTTATTCGTATGTATATTTATTATGCTATGACTAATATTGAATATTGCTATATATTTTACATAGACATTAATGAATGAATACTCAGCAAATCTCTCAGTCATTGTTTGTGGATTCTTTGAATTTATTATTATTGCTTATATCTATGGTTGAATATCAAATGAATTGTATAAAATATATTCATTTCTTTTTTACATAGGTTTTAATAAGTTTATGGAAGATATTCGAATGATGCTAGATAAACGACCACTTGAACCTTATTGGTTTTTAACTTGGTGTATATCAGGTCCAATTATTACTCTTGTAAGAATAGAACTAAAAGTTTACCTTTTATAATGGCATGAAGCTGTTTTTTCTTCTTCAGATTGTCTTCTTTTCATCTATAATACAGTTTCGAGCACCAACTGAAGGAAACTATGTATATTCAACATATGCTAATGTTCTCGGTTGGCTTATGGTTAGTTCATCGATTATATTTATTCCAGGTGTTATGATCTATGAATTTATTAAAGCATGGAAAGCAACACATCGTTACGACAGTCAAGTAATAGCAGTTTCATCGTATTTTGTGAAATACGATCTAAAAAGAATGTTGAAGTATTCACAGTAGAAATATTCATCTCCTTCCGCCACAGTTCATGACTAGAGTCCTTCGGTTCCAAAGCTTTCGAATCCGGGACCAACCAAATTGGATCTAGCCGTGATAGACACCTTAGCACATACTCTCTCGTACTGTTGACATCTAGGATTACAGCTGAGCTGTAGGTTTTCTGTAAAGTCCTCGGTTTTCAAAGTGAAATTTGTGTTTCTCGGCACAGAAACACTTACATGGAAGATTTACTGCCTATTTGGAATCAATATTGAATGATATATAATTTAATAGTTTTTGTATTAAAAAATTTTAAGATTATATTAACATCTGAGAGACGATAAAGTTTTATTAAATATCAAATAAACTGGTCTAGGAAAAATCCACACTATGCCTCGCGCCACATACCATATTAGTATACAATCAAAAGCCGTATTTCAAGAATGTCTTTTTTTCATCGATGAACTACTTGCTTGTTAGATTTGTGGAGAACTAGGTGAAAAAATATGGAAGAAATGTTTCCTACAATAGATAGATAGCTTTTTTTATTATTGATCTTTGTTTTTCAAGATGTCGATTGAAATGCCGCATTACTTACGAATGTTAACATATGCGAGTCAACCAGATAAAGATTGGGGACCAGCAAGAAAGGAAACTCGATATGGTCGATATGAAGCAATGAATCAAACAATTGAAAATGATAGCAAACAGAATAATGGATCAATTATTATTAATAATGAAAATGTCAATGAAGCTTTTAATTCTGAACTTGACATAGCTTCACGATTTTAAATTGATTTTTAATTGATATCTACTATTTAAAAACGAAAGACTAAATTTAATCGATTATTAATCACTATAACAATTGATTGAAACAAATTTCCTTTTTGAAAACAAATCTTTTATAATCCTTTTTCTTTTCGTTTGGGAATCTTGACTTATTTGAATTAGCTTCACTATGTCATGAGCTAGAGAAAGACAACGTACTTCAAATCAAAAAGTAGTTCAAAGTATGAAGAAGTAATTTCATGTATATCGAAGTACTTTGAAATACTTTTCGACTTGAAATACAATGTATTCTCTAGCATCGTCTATGTTTTTCCTTTTTATCTTGTTCTTTTTGTATTATTTAAATATCTTTATAATGCTATAATTTGTATTACTTTTTCTATTGTACAAATTAAGTTTGTTTTTAAAAGTGCATACACCAGTCACAGTCTGAGTGGCCGACTGACAGTTAAAACTAACCGAATCAAATCAAGTTCAAACTGACATGTTAATCGTTTTCAATTGAACTGCTACAAATATAGTAGAAATCGATCAATCTTGACATGTATCTTTAATCTATTTTTGAAACGAGAGTAAAATACGATGTGATTATTATTGATGACATGAATAATTTATCATTGATGTTTATGATTATGATCGGTTTCTCTAGTGTTTATTAGAACAACAAGTTATCAAACGTAAACGACATAGATGTCCATTGTAGCTGAGAATCTGTCATTGCCAAGATGATTTTAGCGAAAGCCTCTTTCATTACTATGCTAAATTAGCACATTTAGATTCTATTCATCAGATTCATCACAGTTCTCATTGTCGGATTTATAACTGTGGCGGTGGCGATGCGGTAGTAGCAACGTCGACATGTACATTTCTAATCGACAGACAAGTAACACTTCGTTTTAAAGTAGATTTCATCAAAAAGTGAATTGAATATCATAATTGTCGCCTAAGTATAAATTGGTTTTACTACGAAACTACGTCATTTTCAAAGATGTGTAGAGTCGAATTATAGCTGCTGTACGGACTTTTCGACTCATTTTGGGTATTTACAGCAAATGCAACTAAAGTAAATTCGATCTAAAATTTCGTTCCTAGATAAGCCTAATGAGCCATAGAATATCTTGCAAGTTTTGATTTGAAAAAAATGTTTGTTTGTCGAAATATTGAGTTTCTATTTTTTGAAGTTGAATCGCCCAGGATTCGTAAAGGATCATGATACTTATCTGTAGACAAAACTGAAGGTCGAAGGTGCATTACCGAATTTTTAGTATGTACCTAACCATGGGTTTAAAACTTAATAAAACGTTCATAATTAAACTCCAATAGCGGTTGAAAGTTGAAGTAGTCCGTAGTTAGCAATAGACGAAATACACAAATAGAAAAAAAATTGATAAATGCGATTAAACTCAACTTGAATGGCACTAATTGAGCAGATTTCAATCAAATTATTCTGTCTTAATAAAAATTTTCATGTGGTTTTTATCTTCTTTTAATTTATGAAAACAATTAAAGAGAGTTTCATTGGTTATTCAGATGTTCTAAGAAAAATTCGATTAAAATTAAAAGTTACATCGACTTTAATCAAAAGTTGTCATATTTCATCAATCTTTTCAATCTTTGCTATAGTGACTATCGAAATTCTCTAATTTACCAAAAAAAGTAACATTAATCAATAATATAGGAAAGAAATGGTAATTTAAAACATTGTTCATAATTCCAGCGGTGAAAGGAATATTGTATATTTTAAGAAAGCATGTTTTATTTTTATATTCCCTCTTTTTGTTCTCGTAATGACAGTCAATAGTAACGATCTTCTCAACAACCTTAATTAAAGCAGACTATATTTTTCAAGATACGTTCATACAAAGTATATCTAACGTCTACATTTAACAACAGTTAGATAGGTTTTTTCAACGTCCATTTTTTAAAATTTTCTTATGATGACCAAACAAGAAATGAAAGGAAAGCATTGCAATTATAAAGAAAAAATGGGACACAAGTAACGCTATACATTAACATTACTTAGGGTGAAAGTTCTATTCGATAAGCATTTGCATATTTATAATAATATTGAAGAAAATATCGAACTCTTCGAAAACCATATCCAAGATATAATTTATATGCATGCATATTTCATGTATTCACTTCAAGCTGCATAATTGAAGCATCAAATAGAACAGAATAATCTATCATATAATGTAAAAGTATTCCACCGAAGCTATCAACACGCTGCTTACGATCAATACACAAGTAACGCGACGCAAACATCGCTAAGCCCTTTACTGAAAGGAAAATAGTATTATAGGAATTTACTAAACTGATCAGTCGCGAAGTTTTCGCTTCCATCGATCTATGTTTATTTTAAATTATCTTTAATTTCACAATGCTAAATCTTCAGGGTGAGTGTGGGTGGTGTGGATGTGGATGTGGGTGTGGGTGTGTGGGTGTGAATGTGGGTGGTGCGGCTGTGGATGTGTGGGTGTGGGTGTGGGTCAACAGCATGTAGACCCATATCCACACCTACACCCACACCCCACACCCACACACTCACACCCCCACACTCACAGCGCGCACCCACACTCACACCCACACCACACATTCACACCTACATCACACACCCACATTCACACCCCACACCCACCCGCAACCTCAAGATGAATTCGAAGCTCCTAGAAATTATTTGGTTGCGCTATCGACCGAAGAAACATCTGATTGACTGAATTCTCTACTCTAGATAACTCAATGACTAGCACGGACACTTAAAGAACGTCTGAGTAGCTAAAGCCACCACCTCAGAATCTCTTTGGCTGCGACCTAAATCAACAAAACATCAGATTGGCTGGGACTCAGACTGAAGGGACCCCCCTCAGAAAATCGAGTTTTTCAGGGAAATATCGAAGTTGAGTTCTTATTACAGAAAGATGCAGCGAAGCTTTCTCTTTCAGAATATGTATAGATTTTTTGAAAATGATCAGATTTTCAAAGACTTATCACATGAAACTTTAAATCTACCATCATTTTTTCGGAGAAATTGTCGTGGTTTTTACAGGTTTTCAGTTTTAGAAAAATTGCGTTTCCACTAGCATTGTCATGAAATAGAATATTTTTATATTAATCAGCACGTCAGATGACGTTAGTTACCTTCATCTATTACGTTCTTTAAAACGGTCCACTGGAATATACTATTGTAGTATGATTTGTTCTGGATTTGAATGAAAAAAATCCATTTGTAAAATTTCTTCAAAATTTTTCTCAAAACACGGTTTCTAGCCAGGAAAATTGAAATAATTCTCACTCGACTCGGCATATAACCGAGGTTTTTTTTTGTTTTACAGGACTTAATCAGAGCTAACTTTTGATCGGACGGATTTTTGATGTTCGATCCCAGGGCTAAGAAAAGTGGGATTTGCTGTCGTAGATTCACACTTTTTTATTCTTATTTTGTAAACATGTCCACAAAATTGCTCGTAAAAATGAATAGAAGGGAGTTAAAAAATTCCGTCCGATGAAAAGTGGCGTACAGAGGCTAGCTCCAATTTAAAACTGGCCCGAGCTCTGTATCCCTTCTAACGACGGAGTTATTTCGATTCTCCTGAAAAGTAGGAAAACAAGCCGAAAGTTCGATCGACTCAGGCACATCAGGCGAAAATTTTTTACCACAAGCGTTTCTCACTAAAGTCAATCATCCCTGGCAATTTCAGCCCAAACTATGGGTTTCAAGTGGGAAATCAATTCTGAGGGGGACCTGAAGAAACATCTGGTTCTCTGAATGCCCATCGCTAGAACACTCATCAGCTCACAGCTGGCTCGCAGAAACATCTGATTGGGTGAATTTCCAACCCGCAACATCTCATTCGATGAGGGTCAGACAGAGAAAACATCTTGTTGGTCATATTCTAATCCTCAAAACTCCATTCACTGGGAGCTGCAGCCAAGAAACGTCTGATTCGCTGAATCCTCATCCTCTGAGATATGATTGATTGAGAGTCGGATCCAGAGAACGTATTATTGACTGAATCTCAAGCCCTCGAAATCTCATTGGTTGAGAATACGTTCCAGAAAAGATATGATTGGCTGAATTTCCAGTCCTTGAAATCTCATTGGTTGAATCCCAGACCCAGAAAGCATCTGATTGGCTTGAAATTGTTATTGATGATGGTTGTTAGATTTCTTGGAAGCGATCTCGTGAACGGTAAAAAAAAAATTTTTCTCGTTCTGTATAACGAACAAACAAACAAATGAACGAACGAACATTTGGTCATTGTAGCTGCTCAGCGCATTACCCTTCTTTCAGTAGAGGAAATAAATTCGCCTATAAGTGATGTAGTTTTGCATATATAATGAAAATCATATTCAACTATTGAATAATTATTGTTCACACTTTCGAGTATCCAAGATTTTCAACGTGCTAATTAAGACGATCAAAAAACTTTTGAGAAGACCGTGATTCATCAAGTCATGTGATTTGCTCAATTTCAACTACTGTGCCAATACCAGTTTCAAGAAGTAGTTGAATTTGATATTCGTTTTCTTTGTTAGGAATCGTTATAAATGCTTGATAAACATCATTTACATTAATTTTAGGAGACGTCGCATAAAACTAGTCGAGTAACAAAGTGTCTTATTGTTTGTGCATTAAATTATAAGTTGGCAAAGGAATCACTTCTATTTTCTTATCTTTCAACCATAGTCGTAGAATGCAAACAAGCTTTCTGTTATCCTTCTTTGCAAATATATATATTCTATATGTAATTCCATTACAATTATCCGTAGTATTCGTGAAGAGTCGATTTACTTGATATTGATGGTTTGGATATGAGTGTGATTGTGCCGGTGATGCCGATGTAAGTGGGAAGTGGCTGTTGGCGTGGTTGTCAGTGTCGGTGTCGGTATGAGTGTGGATGTAACTGTCGCTCTGGATGTCGATATCGGGCTAGTACAGAGTACGAGAGAGGGTGTTAGTGGATGTGATTACCGGCACAGATGGCGTACGGCTGTCAGAAAGG